CGGCTCAGACTGAGGCACACCTGCAGCAGCCTCCAGCAGCCTCACTGCTGAATCTGACGTAAGTTAGAGCCACCCACCCATCCTCCAGCTGTTTTCTGTCGTGTGGGCCACATGTGCTGGGAGGAGCAGCTTTAGCCACCGTGCCAGCTGTCAGGGCTGGCACTGTGCTCTGAATCAGTACTAATGGCTTCCTCCCTTGAACGTTGTCCAAAAGCAATTGTTCACTTGCTAAAGGCGCGTGCCTTGCTGTCACACCACGGCCCGAGAGGGCGGCACCCCACCACCACCATCACCACCGCCGCCACCGCCACCACCACTGGGGACTGGGTCTCCCCTTTGCCAAAATTACCTGCATTCCCACAACTGTGCCACCTGACACGATTGTATGTGTCCTTTGTACAAGTCTTCCCATTAACCTTGACCACAGCCACCACTGTCCGCCTGTCATCCTCAAATGGTTAGCCAGTCAGTGTCTCCCCAGATGCGACCAGGACTAGAATTTGCAGCTTACCAAGTGCGAGCAGTTGAGGCCCATCCCTTGGGCGACCCACTCATTCCCGGTGTGTTGACTGCAGATACCCAGCCATCCCCACCGTGTGCTTACTCAGAGGGCCTTGTTGACACTAGGTCTGTTCAAGTCTTCTCACCTTGGATTGATGGCTTAGTCAATTGTAGCACTGGCTTTCTTTATTTTAGTGAGCTGCGGTTCTATTTTGAATAAGTCTCTTTCAGCCTATTAATATTCATTTTCACCAAGATGAGCCTTCCCCTGAGTTATTCTCACACAAAAGGAGCAAAGTAATTTTGAAAGTTAAATCAAAACAAAGCAGTCTTGTGTGGAGGGCTGATAAAATCGCAGCCTGTGGTCACGGCAGCTCCTCCACAGGAATCGCTGACATAAAGCTGATTTCCTCCCATCTTGTTATGGAAAGAAAAGGGGAAATGCCCTGGCCCCTTGAGCTTGAGAGCTGTGTGTGTAAACAGTGGGGAGAGGGGGGCTCCCCTCGCAGCTGGTGTCTGCTGGGACCTTTGGAGTCTGAGAGGGGACAGACAGCCCCAGTGTGATTCATGGTCATTCCCAGACGGTCCTGAGGAGCACTTCCCACCAGAGTGAAGGGGGTGGGGTGCCGGGGGTGGCCACGCAGCCAGGTCCTGTTGGTGGGTTAGTCATTAAGGAAACGACCAGGGCCTACTTGAGACTTGAATTTGAACCACGCTGTGGCTGATGGCGCTGGGGCAAGTGTATTGTTCCTTTGCCTTATGTTCTCCAGTGAGATGAATGGGACCCCAGATGTGTGGATACTCTGGAAGGGTGCAAGGGAGTCTGAACTCTTCACGTAGGTAAATCCTAGGCTTCCTTCTGAACAGTCTTCAAATTGTAACAAACCTAAATATGTCACAAGCAATGAGGCTTTGCTTTTAATTGCCCTTCCCTTCCCAGGCCTGATGTGGGACCGCGGGGTTGACTCAGCCCCTTGTCTGCGACAGTGGGCAGCCCCTCCCTCCGGGGCACTGTTTATCCTTCGGTGCAACCAGGGGCCCATCACTCTTCCACTTTATTTAGCTTCTTGGGGCAAATTACCCCCCCTCCCCCGCCCAAATCACTGCTTTCTCAAGTCAATTATAGCTACCGGAATCCACCTTTGAGGGAGTCTGAGCGTGTCTGAATATCAGTGGATGTGGTGTGTGGTAAAGAAACCCAAGTCCATCCCCTGTTTTCCTCGGCCCTCTCCCCTCGGCTGGACCACTTCTCCCGAGACACCAACAGCGGTGACCTGCCATGGCTCTTGTCCAGCACCCATGGGAAGGTTTACAGTTCCAAGATAGCTTTGGAGTAGTTTGATGTTGGTCCATTCGCTTTATTTTCTCAGTGATGGACAATCTGTTTGGTACGCTTGTACTCTGTGATGTCGCCTCCTCATCCCCGCAGGGCAGATGGAACTGAGTTCCTCTGCAATTCAGATGGGAGGCACCTCTTGCTCTAAGTGTGCCGGCTCCAGGGTACCAGGGAGTAACGCAGAACTCTGCTTGTATTGTTGCAGGCTGAAGACCACCCTCACCACCCTCAAATGGTTATCTTACAACTGTTACGTTTCTTCATCCGTCTAGTATGGAGAAGGCATTGACAGGATCTTCATGCAGCCAAGGATACATGTGGACATTGCTCTTGTTCAGACCGCCAGAACCCCAGCACTTCAGTCTCCTGGTGCCGTGAAGATGCAGCGGCCGCCGCTGGTGCCGCCGGTGACCGTGGCTCTGTCCCAGAGAGGTGCTGAGGGCGGACGACACACTGGACACACCGCACTGTGTCGACGTGAACTTAACCTTTCTGTTCCTCACCACATGGCAGAATTTCCAACAGACGTTCGTTGTGAATGTAAACGAGGGAGGGCTCTTCTCTTTTTAATGTACAGATTCTGGGTCTTTTGGCATCGAGTCAAATGCAAGAGAGGTGTTTACATGTGGTGTGTTCATGTGGTTTTTAAACCCTCTTTCTTCAATAACTGTTTGGGTTGGGGGGCTGTTTTTTGTTTTTGTTTTTGTTTGCTTTTTTTTTTTTCCAGAAAGGAAATGAAAACTTTTTAGCCAACTTGTGGATGATTTTTATACTAAAATTCTAAGAACCTGACTCCAATTCTCAGAGGATTATGTAAGCCTGCAGTGGGAACTGAGCCAGCTGATTTATAAGGCTGCCTTAGTTTATTTTTAGAGATTACTGTACAGACTTTTTTCAACAGGGAGAGTATGGTGCTGCCCTCTCTCCTTTGCCGTGACTTCCTTGAGTTTCTTTTTTAATTATTGCTACCAAAACAGTTCTTACGAAATGGAATGGATTCAAGTGGCCAAGGGTCTATTTCGGTGTGCCATTCCCATTTTGTAAATACTTACCTCCTTAGCTCAGTTGCTTCTGTCTCAAAATGTCCCCCTTTTTGTGCTTTCCCTCATCTCCTCGTGCTCCTCCGTCTGTCTCCACACTGATGCGCAGGTTTGGCCCAGGGTGCTCTCGTGATGCAGTGTGTTTGGGCCAGCAGGGCTAGGGGCTGCCGGGATTGTTCCCAGCTCCATCAATCAAGCTGACTCACGGGAAGGGCTCTTGAGCACCTCACTTCCTTGTGGTGGATTTGTTTGTCCCTTACATCTCGAGAGAATGCAGACTCACCCAACACTTAGGGAAGCTGTTAGCTCTTTGGGTTGCAGGCTTTTCTGCAGTCATAGGCTCTGCTTTACTGCATGTACCAGATGGGCCAGAGCCCACACTTTTCTTGGGGATTGGCCGGGTCATTTCGGGAGCAAGGGGCTCAGGGAGTCATTTTCCACGCTTCTTGGCATTTAGCCCTGCTCATCCCAGCTGGCCCATGATGCCTGAACGTCATCCCCACCCCTTTGAACCTACCTTGAAATAGAGACTGGCTCCGCTTCACCAGTTACCTACCATACATAGGAAACCTCCGTGACACCGAGTGAAACATTCTTTTTGGTCTTCCAAAAGATGACTGACTACTTTGTTCTCCATTTCCCTAATAGTTGGATCTTGTTGGACCGTCTGTGTCTGGGGTGGGGGGTGCTCTTTCTTGGTACCTACCCCTTAGGACCACGTGCACCAGAAGGCCACACATTGGTCAGTCATTTCAAGAGCAGGCAGGACTGGAAGTGTATAGCCTGGTGAAGGAGCACTTCCCTAGCATGTGCAGAGGCCCCGGGTTCCCTCCGAAGCACCTCCTAAGACAAACAGCACACATGTAGACAGACAAGCAGGGAAGACAGAGGAAAGAACACCGGAGGGGTGGGGGGAGACTGTGAGCCCTCTAACTTGTGAAAACGTCAATCATCAGGCAGCTTGTGTAGAGAAGTGCGTGCATTTCCAAGCAAGTCTGCGCTGCCAGCAACTGTGTTCGCTTTTGCCCCGTAGAGGGCCAGTGTTTTTATGTCATTGAGTAGAGAAATCCATTCATTCCTACGTTCCTCTGTGCGTGTGCGTGTGTGTGGTGTGTGTGGTGTGTGTGTGTGTATTGCCTGTATGCTTTTCCTTCTAGATTGAGATCATTTGATTCCAAATATTCTTCCTTTTAAACCCACTTCTTTCCCAGCTTCCTTAGACTTGTAATAGTTTGAAAGCTGTGTTGGCACTCATCTTGTTCCCTGATGTGTTGAGCCTCGTGGAGGGTTCCCCATATGGCCCACTGGTAAAAAGTGGTATTAAAGAGTACAGCCATGGTTCTGCTAGACACACACACACACACACACACACACACACACACACCCCAAAGACATACTTGGTTCTGGGCCACCCACCTCCTAGGACCTTCGTGCTCATGTGCCAGTCTCTCCGACTGGAGCACTTTACTGTTTCAGCCCTGTGGCTCTGTGGTACCTCCTGGGCAGGTGCAGAAGGCTCCCAGAGCCAGGTGCCAGTGGCATGTGTGACCCCTCAAGCATGCTTACCTCTGGCCCATTGGCCTCCAGCCTGGGGCTGACCATCAAAGCAGCTCATGGAGAAATAAAAGATTCTATGAATTGTAGAAGTATTCAAGGACAGGATGTGGCACCCAGACCTTAGACACGACTGGATGTCCCTGTACTGTATCTGTTTATTGAAATGCAAATTAGGAAATATGTCTGCCTA